GTGTAATTCTGGACTCCAACCTATCCTTTCAACCCCAAGTCCAATCTTTAACAAACTCGTGCAGACTCCACCTCCGCAACATCGCCAAAATCCGCACGTTCCTAACCCCAGAAACCACTAAACAGCTCATCCACTCTCTCATCATATCACGACTCGACTACTGCAACTCCCTCCTCACTGGCCTGCCTCGCCGCTGGCTATCCCCGCTTCAGTCGATCCTGAATACGGCTGCCAGACTCATTCACCTTTCCAACCGCTCTGTCTCCGTCACCCCCCTCTGCCAATCCCTCCACTGGCTTCCGATTGCGCAACGGATCAAATTCAAAATCCTAATGCTGACGTACAAAGCTGTCCACCATACTGTGCTGAACTACATCACTGACCTAATATCCAAGTACCGCCCAGCACGCACACTCTGCTCCTCACAAGACCTCCTTCTCTCTAGTTCCCTGGTCTCCTCCTCCCATGCCCGCCTCCAGGACTTCTCCAGGGTGTCACCCATCCTCTGGAACTCCCTGCCCCAACCCATCAGACTATCCCCTATTCTCCTCTCCTTTAGGCGCACCCTGAAAACCCATCTCTTCAGGGAAGCCTACCCCACCCCCTGCTAACCTGCCGACCTCCTCCACTCTTCCTACCACTCCATCCCCCACAGCTATCTCCTCCTGTGCCACCATCCCCTCCCTCCTAGATTGTAAGCTCGAAAGAGCAGGGCCCTCGATCCCCTGATGTTTTGCATTGTATTGGTATTGTTCTGTCCCCCTTTGTAATGTACAGCGCTGAGCGAACTATTGGCGCTTTATAAATACTGTATAATAATAATGTTGGAACAGGAAGGGACCATCCCAAAACTTTTTCCACAAAGTTGGGATCATGAAATTGTCCAAAATGTCTTGGTATGCTGAAGCCGTAAGAGTTCCTTGAACTAAGGGGCCAAGCCCAACCCCTGAAAAAACAACCCCACACCATAATCCCCCCCTCCACCAAACTTTACAGTTGGCACAATGCAGTCAGACAAGTACCATTCTCCTGGCAACCGCCAAACCCAGACACATCCATCAGATTACCAGACAGAGAAGCGTGATTAGTCACTTCAGAGAACACATCTCCTTTGCTCTCGAGTCCCTTGTTGGCGTGCTTACAACACTGCATCCGATGCTTTGCATTGCACTTGGTGATGTAAGGCTTGGATGCAGCTGCTCGGCCATGGAAACCCATTCCATGAAGCTCTCTATGCACTGTTGTGCTGATCTGAAGGCCACGTGAAGTTTCAAAGTCTTTAGCTATTGACTCTTCAGACAGTTGGCGACTTCTGTGTACTGTGCGCTCCAACATGCGTTGACCCCACTCTGTCATTTTACGTGGCCTACCAGTGGTTGAGTTGTTGTTGTTCCCAGTTGCTTCCACTTTGTTATAATACCACTAAAAAGCTGGCTGTGGAATATTTAGTAGCAAGGAAATTTCATGGATGGACTTATTGTACAGGTAGCAACCTATCACGGTACCACACTTGAATTCACTGAGCTCCTAAGAGTGTCCCATTCTTTCACAAATGTTTGTAGAAGTAGTCTGCATGCCTAGGTGCTTGATTGTATACACCTCTGACCATGGAGGTGATTGGAACACACGAATCCAATGATTTGGAGGGGTGTCCCAATACTTTTGGCAATATAGTGTGTGTGTGTGTGTGTGTGTGTGTGTGTGTGTGTGTGTGTGTGTGTGTGTGTGTGTGTGTGTATATCATTTTTTTTTTTTCTATCAAGGTTAGCAATTGTAGAGATTCTCCATCAGGGCCCGTTTAGATCCTTGCTGTACATTTAGTGCAGCACCAAAAAGGTGCATTTAGCATTTTTGGCAGCGCTCCACAATACACTTCCAGTGACAAGGTTCAAAGTGGTGACATTCAGAATGAATGGCACCACAGCACACATGTATAACCAGGGGCAGACTGACAACTCATGGGGCCCCCAGGCAATAGGGGATCATGGGGTCCCTGTGTCCTTGCCCAAACTCAAAAAAGCCTATAAAAAAGGTACCAGGGGCATCTCATGGGGCCCCCTACTGACCTCGGGCAGTGCCAGAGTTTCCAAATGGTCAGTCCGCCCCTGTGTATAACGCACATGTTACTGCGCTGCAACATATGAATCCAACCTCAAAGGATAAGCCTATGTTCAAAGTGTACTCATGCCTTTTGCCCCCACACAAACTAAAGTGCTCCACCCTCCCCAGATGCATACTTATCTCCATCCTATGGCCATGACCGCCTGCAATTTTTTTTATGTTTTACTGAAATCTCTCCGCTGGCCATCCCTGCTCCATGCTCTACAGCTCTCTTGGGCTTTTGTGAGCTACGAAATCTGTATAAGTCTATGGCGGTCGCATAGCCAGTGTAGAGGTGATTTTTAATGCAGGATTTAAACATTGCAAGAGGTTTTTGGGGGGAGGGCAGAAAAAAGGATAGATGCATTGTTTGAAAAAGACATGATATTCAGTTTTCATTCTGGAGCCTTTCCATTCATATAAATGTGGCGTTCTCTTGGATTTAGTGTGTATGTGCAGCCAAAACTGTTTTTTAGTTTTGGGCAGAATGGGGCAGAATTAGAATCCTTGTTGGGTTTTTCTGCTATGTAAAGCTCTGTACTGCCATGGTGACAATGATTTAACCATGCAGGAAGCGCAGGTAAATCTGCAACAGGTACACAGACAACAATAAAAATCTGACAATGGCTTTAGCCTCAAGCCAACCATAGATGGATCAAATCTCTGCCTGTTCAGCAGGGACTGGCTGAGATTCAGTCCACCTATGGGCAGGCTGATTGTGCCCAATGTGATCCATTGATCAACTTTGGTACAACCAGCCTGTGTTGGATTTTTAGCATGTGACTACTGTACGCGGCTATAGCCGCTAGCCGTAATCGCTGTGTTTTCCAGGCCGGGAAGGCTCCCTGCACCCTTGGCAGAACATAACACTACGGGAGGCATTCTTCCATTAACACTGACTGTTGATGGGGGAATTGAGCAATTTTTTCTCCTTCCAGGAAAGAAAAGAAAGTTGATTATTTGATGGCTTGCCTTACCTACTGTGCTAAAAAAAACATTTTTATTTCAGTCTTCAAAAAATTAGATCTTCCCTCACTTCTCGGGTGGTGAAACTGTTGTCACTGTAGCAGTCAAGAGGAATCTCTGTAACAGAGCTATGAATAGCTGTAATAACCCAACAGAAAAAATAGATGGGCACACACATTAAAATATAGTTGCTATAAGGTCATTATTTCCATATTGTTGCTTGATCAGCAGGTTCAGCCAACATTTTCCTTTATCTGTACATAACCTCAAGCAATTCTTAGATGTGTGCAAACTCACCTTACATGTTTAGGCAATCTACATTGCCATTTTCTCACAATATTTAATTAGATTTGAAGGACTATAATTTTAAAACCCTAAATAATTGCAGGAAATTGTAGGATGAAGCATGCTTTCTATAGGTGTGTTACAGTTTTAACATTGACTTACAGAAATGTTTGTTTGTGGTCTATAATATAGGTGTGAATACAATTAATACAGCTTGGTTTGGGAATAGTTTGTCTCCTAAGCTGTATAACATAGTATAATGTCCCTTGTTAAATCGGTAATAAACCCAAAAAACCAAAATTGTATATATTTCAGTTTAGCAATCCTTCAGTGGGGTGGCTGCCTTAGTTTTATTTTTTTATTCTTTCTTTCCTTTATTTTCACCAGGTGATCTGGCCAGTAGTGCATTTCCCGTCGTATGGTGTCTCCACTCTGGAGAGAGGAGCAACGGTGACACCTTTTGGACAGCAGCATTGTCAATCTGGGAAGACTGTAGTGTTAGATGTAGTAGCAGATTTAGCCCCATTTCAGACTGGTACGACTTGTCATGCGATTTGAAATCGCATGACAAGTCCCGCCCAATTGTCAGCAATGGAACCATTCATGTCGGTCGGACTTTCACCGATTTTGAAAATAGTTCCTGCACTATTTTCGGCAATTTCAGGTGCGACTTGCATAGACATCTGTGCATGAAGTTGCACAAATGTCAGATAAGTCTTACCTGAAATTGCACCAACGTGCGTCAGGAGCCCCATACGACGTCATTGCTGATGAAACGCGTAGGGAGGAGCTAGAGTGCGTGACATTAGCACGTACCGGAACGTGGCGGCAATCTTGTTGGTTAGAAACTTACCATTCATTATATGATGACATGCTATTTTATATTTTTTATTGATGTACGTATATTACTGTGCTTTGAGGCAATACATTTAAATCATCTTACTACACTATGAGGATTCTTTTTTGCAATTTGAATGGGGTTGTCCTCTGAGGATAATTCCTTTGTAGGTTTACCTTCTAGCCCACCTTCTGATGTGAAAGTTTGGAACCAAAGAGTGTCCAGGTCTGAAGTTTGCCTTTTGAAATTTATACATTGCCTCTTACCAGATCATGTTGACCCCTAGTTATGGATGGGTCAAAAAGCACAGTGTTTGCTGATGGTGGACTTTCTTTCTATCTTCTCCTGGCCGTTTTGAGACATCTATAGCAGCACTTAGGTTCCAGTGAACAGGGGCTTATTCTGTATATCTTCATTTTTGTGGATTGGACAAATGAATTAATGCCAAACTCCAGCTCATACCTTATTAGTGGTTACAGCAAGAGTTTTTTTTTTTTTCTCCTTTTGGGATAAAGGTGTAACATAAATTGATAGAAGCTGATCATTATAAATTAAATTTTTTTTTCCAACCCTTTAACTTCCACTTTTGCTGGACAGCTTGGCCTGTTAAAGGAAGCTGGAAAATAACAGACTTGCAGACTGGGTCACCAAATGAAAATAAAAGAGAAAAAAAAAATAAAGAAAATGATTGCAATCTCCACATGTAAGAATTATTAAGCTGCAATATAATATCTTTTTGGTTTAGGGTTTAATACCAGCTCCAAATGCTATATCAAGATTTGTGACTTTGTCTTTTGTGTCTCCTGTACAGTGCCTCAAACAATATGTCCAGTTGTCAGTTCGTGAAGGATTTGGTTCTCCAATCACCTGCCCAGACATGGTGTGCCCAAAGAGGGGTCTCCTTCAGGAAGCAGAGGTACACATAACCAGGCTATTTCCGTTTTTGGATCAATGCCTTGATTTTTACTGAGTCCTTTTTTTAGGTGTTTTACTTTCCCATAATAAACATTAACTTCAGCCTCCTGCAGCAGCCAGAATCCGCAGCAATGGGTTTTTTATTTTCTACCTCCAGGTAATGTTTACTCAGCACAGCTCAGTCAGTGTGTGCTTTTTTAGCCAAGTTAAAATATCCCAGTCCTGAACTTCAATGAACCTTTAGGCTAGGTTCACATCTTTGCAGTGTATTAACACAAAGTGTGTTGACATGCGTTTATTTGTGCGTTAACATTAGTAATGTTAGGTCAGTCCATTGATTCGAATGTGCTCCCACCCACGCTAAAATTAACCAAAAAATTGTGTGTACAGTACTTTTTCTTTGAAAGGCAGCTTTCCAAAATGCTCTGCAGTGCACTGTGGTGCACTAAAATGCACAAGAGTTAGCAAGGTGTGTTGGGATGCCATTTGGAATAAATTAAGCATGTGCCGCATGCTTGTTTTTGGTGTGTGACGGTAAGTCCTTATGCACACTGGGCGTTTTAAAACCGCCGGTAGCGTTCTCTGTATAAAGTCACATTAAAAACACAAGTTTTTCCGCACTTGCATTTTATTTAGCATTTTTTTTTTTACACAAAAAAATAAATTAATAAAATGTTTGCGCAAAAAATGCCCAAAACGCTGGTGTGCCGCGGTTTACCACGTTTACTAGTGTTAGAGCCGTTTTACAGCTAAAAAACTTCTTTAGAAACCCATAGTTCTGGGGGGGGGTTTTCCCAGGCAAAAAATGCTGATTAAAGCCTATGTGTGTATGAACACATAGGATAACATGCCTGGGGAGTTTACTGGCTGTAGAAAAAAACATCAAAAGCCAAAAACAGCAGCTGTAAAAACGTCCAGTGTGCACGAAGACTTACACTTATGTTCCCAAATTGCAAACTTGTGGACCCAGCATTAAACTAAGCTACATGTAGCTTCTTATCTCTTCAGACACTCTTGTGTTCAGACAAACTAGGTGTAGCTGTAATTTGCATGTTACTGCATAACTTATTTGAATACCGTCTAACCAGTTTTTTGTGTGTCAGCCAAAAATGGAATCTGTGAAAGCATTGATAGGAGTATTTGTGAAGCGTTTGCATGAGATCACTTTTGTTTTTGCCTACTCTGATTTGTACCATATCATAGAACGTAAATTATATTTTATCATCTCTTAAGCTATATGTGAAATCTTCCATCTTCCCCCATTCTCTTTTCTGTATTTAAGTGATGATCTTTAAATATACAGTACCTTACCATGTTCAGGTGGGACTTTTCAGGTATTCTGCTTATACAGACACACGTAAGTCTATAAAATGTCAGGTAGTAAAAACATGTTAAAATAACATAGATATGAATAAAATATATCAGGTATTTGTAATGATCAGAGCATGTTGGGTACAATTTCACTTCCAACGCATTTCGAATAGACTATATTTCTTCCTTAGGGAAATGCGAATCTGTAAGATTCTATATGGGTATAATACAATATTTTCTTGAAATGATGAACAACCCACACTTCAAGTAATGGCCCAATCCCAAAGAACCTGGTGAGCAGTTGGGACAATCAACAGGGCAGAAATGACTGAGAGCACCATCCAGCCTGAAGTCCAAAAGGTCCTTTTCTATATATAGAGGGGGCACAATTGTCTAGTGCATTACCCTAAGATTTATTAAAAGAAACCAAATAGCCAACTGAATACTCACAAGCAAAACAGAAGTAACATGCACATCAACAATCTCTTATGGTCAACCAGTGTGGCGAGCAGTGACCAGGCTGTTGGTGATGTTGGCAAGTTGACACGTTTCGGGGATGCATCCCTTTCCTCAGAGCTAAGACCTGATACCTGTTATTAGCTCAATTTTAAGAGAGAGAATGTGGCTCTTTACAATCCTTAAATGGGAAACCAACCAAAATGTCCAAAGCTCACTATCCTAATATTTATATTCTATTTAGTTTTTTGTTTTGGTATCTCTGTACCTTCTAATCAGCTAGATGGAATACAGATTCTCTGATGTAATCTTTTTAGCTGTATTGGTGCACTTGCATCAAAATCTTGTGTGTTACTAAACCCACAACAGTAAAATTACTCTTTATTTGCAGTATAGCATGCTTGTTATACTCGCTGTAGAACCTAAGGGGTTAATCCTACATATTGTGTTAAAAAGGCTGTTTGATCCTGTCTTCTCTGATCCTGCCCTTCATTCTTTTTCTTCTGACCCCAATCCATCTGCTGATAGTACAGAGCTCTAGGAGTCACTCTGCACCTGCTCAGTTTAGTGTGTATCGTTTGAGAGTTTTTTTTTTCACTTTGGGAGGGTGCATGTGATCAGTACAGGGCCAATCAGTACAGTCCTGACAAAGGGTCAGGGGTTGTGCAGCGTCTTAGGACAGTCAGAGCAGAATGAAAACTCCTCCTACAAGCTTTAGCCAGTGCTTGGTCAGACACTGATAGAAGTCACAAGACTGCTCTTACTGCTGATGAAAAAAGTTATTTATCAGTTTATATTTAATAAAATAATTGCATTTAAATGTTCTGTGTAGTGTGGGAGACCAGATATAGTGAATGTAGGGTCCTGGGTTTAGTAACAATTTAATTGTTGGTGCAAGTGAAAAAAGTATCACAGACAGTGCTTAGTTGTTTATGTGATGTAATGAAGAGCTGAACACCTGATTCACACCGATGCATTGTGGGATTCTCAGCGATTTCTGTGCCTTTCCTGCACCACATGACAATGGCAATCTGTTCATGTAAACTGCTGCTAGTGTCAATGTTAATATAACGACATTCCAAAAACAGTTCACAAAACTCAGTGCGATTGGCCTAATTGGATCACATTGGTGCAAACACCCATGCTATTTGATTACAGTGCAGCAAAAAAAAGTGCATGCGCCTTTTTTTTTTGTGCAGGTGCGGTGCGATTTGGGCCATACAAAATGAATGGGCTCAATTAGCACTGCAAAGAATCACATGTGAGGAATGCGAAGCGATTCCTGTCCAAATCACATGCGGTTTCCCGCGCCACATCGGTGTTAACTAGAACTAAATGTGAGGGTGTCTTACCCAGTAAACAGTAAGATTCTTGCTGTTAATGTTCAAACTGTAAAAGAGAAATTATGCTAAAAATGTAATCAGTTGAGTAACCTCCACGTTTTATTGTTTCCAGATTTGATACATGGGTCTTTGTTGTGTCTAAAGCACTCATCTGCTACTGTTACTAGGACCATTAGGTCAACATGAAGGTGAATGTAAAAAGAGGGAGATGTAACAACCCTTACAATTTGCTTATCAGTACTACCAAGGGATAGCAAAGAACATTTCTCACTAACAAAGACAAAAAAATTCATTATTTAGAATTTTTTTTTTAATGTATTTCATTAAAGTGGCAATATAAACTTTATAAATGATCTTACTGAATTATATAAAGAAAAACTGATTGAAGGGTTGACATATTTACCATACTTACCTTTCCCACCAAGTTCAGGGGGTATAGCACCTTGGGATCACGTGCAACAGCCGTTTATTTTAAGCTTTTTATTTTAAGTATTTTTCTTTAAAGCAAACAGAATATAGCTTCCAGCAGCAAAACAAAACTTCAGGAAACACAAAAGTCTGCATATCTTCAGCACAAACCCGAATATCAGACATACAAAGTCCGGCTTCTGATGTTTTCAGTTTTTAGCACACGTGCAGCACACAGAGAGGTCTCCTCTTAACTCCTACTCAGTCCACTAGCACTAGGAGGTTCCTGCCTGATGTGCTGCTTCCTGGAGGCTGCTTTACCCTGTAGGGACAGGAGTGCCTGCGGTCAGGAGTGCCTGCGGTCAGGAGTGCCTGCGGTCAGGAGTGCCTGCGGTCAGGAGTGCCTGCGGTCAGGAGTGCCTGCGGTCAGGAGTGCCTGCGGTCAGGAGTGCCTGCGGTCAGGAGTGCCTGCGGTCAGGAGTGCCGCTGCGGTCAGGAGTGCCTGGTCAGGAGTGGAGGTCCTTTTCCCACCAGAATGTCACTCTAGACCTCCAAAATTCTGTATCCCAAATAAGCCACTACTAATGCTGGGAGGACTGCGAGTCAGTCCTCTCCTTTACTTCACTATCCCGAAATTCCTCACCTATCACAGGTGGGACCCCTGAGTAACCAAAACATTTCCATTAACCACTTGGTAAGCGTGCTATAGCTAAATGACAGCTACAGCACGGTTACCCAGTTCTGGGAGGGCATCATATGACGTACTCCCATAATGCACCCTTCCACGCGCCCCCAGGGGGCGTGCACCCGATGATCTCCGTTATCGCTGTGTTCTATGGACACAGCTGATCACGTAATGAGGTAAAAGGCCAATCACAGCGGCCTTTTACCATGTGATCAGCTGTGTCCAATGACACAGCGGATCACAGAGTAAAGAGATAAACATCCAGTGCTCTTGAGTATGGAGAGCATGTGCCCACGTTGCAGCGCAATGTTGTTAGGCACTAGTGTTGTCATGTGTGGATGGGGAGAGGGTCTTGAACCCCTTAAAGCTCTTCCAGAGGGATGAACAATTCACCTGATAATCAATGGTAAAGTGAGTATAAGTAGCTTACAGGATCAGCCTTTGAGCGATCCTGTTGCTCTGTCCTGCATAGGTAAAGCACAAGTTCACTCTAAATATAAAGTTTCCAAATTCCCTTTATAGAATAAATTTATACTTAAAGCGGAACAACACTGTATTTGAGCACCACAAACCAAAAGTGCCATTTGATTCATACTAAAAAACAAAAAAAAACCCCATCCATCCTTTTCTCCATGCTTTATTTTGCTGAGAAATCACTTTAAAGAAACACCCCCCTCTAGCATTTCTGCCCATCTTGAGTAGGGGCAGATGATTCATGTAGCATATATTGCCAAAGCTTCATTGAACAAGCTGAGGTTAGAAGCTGATTCATTTCTACTTCTAATCATACCGTGTAGG